AGGGAGACACGTGATTATTGGGGGGGGGGGGTGGATTAACCAGTTTTGATTATTCGGGGGGGTCATAACCCCCTGTCCCCCCAATAATTTACGCCCATGGGCTGATCAGTGCTATGAAGCAAAGTTTGACAATTTATTGAAGTTTCCAATTTTCCTATTCTTTACTGCATATGTTTGTGATAGATGTATTTTTTAATGACAATATGCCCTGTGTCCTCCGTGAATTTCCCATCGCCCATCACCCATTGGCTGACTCTCTGCTTTGTTCTTCCACGCCTCTTTGGCTCCACCCACTACCACTGCTCATTAAAATCCCCACCTGTCCTGGTCTTTAGTGCCATATCTGCACAGCCTTGCTCCCGGGGGCGGATCTAAGTGGGACCATAGAAGAGACAGGGTGCGGCACCACGACACTTTCTCCAGGCAGCACTGCAGACAATCAGCCAGTAAAAGTATTCATTTCAGCATGTAGTCATGGTGATACTTGAGGGACCTGTGTATTTGTTTATGTTCACAATTGAATAAATCCATAGAGGGCAGGAATATTATGGGCTTCAATTACTAAATGGTCCAATCTGCCTTCAGGTGGTTAATTCAGGTACCAATGAGGTACCAATGGATAGCGCAACAATCCATCCACAGCGGGATTCGTGTGCGTTACTCTCCAGATCACTAGCTGGTCTCAAAGGCAGCTTGAGGGATGGACTTGCTCTTGATCCTTTCAGATTCTTTTTTTAAAGATAGATAGCATTCCAGTATACAAATGTATAGATTTTCTTACATACATTATTGAGTTAAAAACATTCTTCATCAATTTTACCAGCAATATTTAGTACTTTGGATGGATGGATGGATGGATAAAAATGTTCCCTATTCAATTAAGTGATAGACTGGAAAGCTTCAAGCAGCTTCTTTGAACATTTCAGTAAAATACGGGAAAAAGAAAACTAAATAGTAAAACAAATTATAAAGTAATCTGTACAAAAATACTGTGATTTAGTCTTACTTGATATTAAACTGGATATTTCTGAATATATTGGAAAGCACTGTATAAAAAAGTTAGAAGCTTAGAATGTCCTGGATCTTAGCCAATCAGCAGCTCTGACTGGTCTGACAGGATTTTGTAATTAACCTCAGGAATTTTACTTTCTATTTACCAACACAAATTGTCAATTGTTTTAAAACAGGAATGGGTTTGGTTATCCAGACACCAGTAAAAAGCCCATTATGATGTGGTTAATCCATCATAATGCTTCATCTGCCTTCATAAATAACTTGTACAGATTCAAACCTTCAGAGATGGGCAGAGATAAATTAAACTGTATTTTAGAATAAAACCTTCTATCTATTGGCCTGTTTGATCTGTCCCTACAGCAATACACTGACTCAGCTGATGAAGTGGACAGTGTCTGAGAGCAGCAGCTTTTCTCTAACGAGGCGTGTCATAAATTTGACAACAGCCAACAGATCAAATATTCTGACCTGCCTGTTACATGCCAGATGAATGAATGAAGGCTTTTCAAGACACACTTCATAGAACCAATGAGGAGCCACTTGCAATCACCACCGCTGTGTAGCCTCCACCTGGATGATGCAACAGCAGCCATTCTGCGCCAGTACGCTCACCACACAGTAGCTAAAGTGGTGAGGAAGCAGGAGAGACTTCACCAGGTAGATACAGGGGATGATTAGGAGGCCAGATTTGATAGAGCCACAGTGGGCAACTTTAGCCAGGACATTGGGGTATCATCCCTAGTCTTTCAAACAATACCCAGGAATCTTTTATAATCTCAGACACTCAGGGTCTCAGTTTTCCATATTATCCAAAGGACGACACCATTTTTACAGCACAGGGATCCATGCCATCCACAATACAGCCTAACACATTGGCCACACCACCACCTCTCCCAGCAGGAGCCCAGTAATCCTAGTTGGTCTCCCATCCAACTACTGGCCAGGCCTAAACCTGCTTAGTTTCAGATGGATTACATAACTGAAGGTGGTACAGCTGCTAGTAACAGCAAAGATGAAGGTTAGTTTCAAAGTATCCAACAGTTAAATGTTCAACTAACAGTTTGCTAATGACTCATAATTATACAACACAGTAATTTAGTTACTCTGTGCTTGGCAATGAAGGGCCTATTTGGCATCAGTAATGCTGACTCAAGGACAAACAAGCTATTCATAGTTAATTAATCATACAATTGTTAACCACAAATATAATAATAACTTATTAGTCAGGTAGTCATTCATGCATTGGCTTGCAAATACATTATCCTACTAAATGGGTACTTCAATTAGGGTAATCAGTGACTTAGTTACCAACAATTGGACACCTATTTGAAAGTTGAAAACAAGCATTTTAGTACTTAGTCAGCCAGTTTTAAATGATCAACATGTTTTGATTTTAAACGTACACAGAAATGTAATCAGAAAGGAGCAAACAAACTTGAATATTACACATCAATACAGCCATTTAATAGTAATATATGTGTGTGTGTGTGACTGGGTTATGCATATATTACATTGTGGGAACCAAATATGTGTGGTTAGGGGCTGGGTTAGGGGTTAAGGTTGTCATTGTTGGGATTAGGGTATGATCCATATAAATGAATGGATGCTCCCCCCAAAGATATGCATACAAATATGTGTGTGTGTGTGTCTGTGTGTGTCTCTGTGTGTGTGTGTGTCTGTGTGTGTGTGTCCCTATACTGGACATGCGTACTGTTATCTGTATCAATAGCTCATATTTCTTACCCTTATTTCATTTCAAGCCACAAGCAGGATTCAAATGCATGAGAATTTGCACATTTTTTTCTCAAGTGAACATATGAACTGTATTTTAAAATTATTTAATTATTTAATATACACATTTACGGTACCAGTCAAAAGCTTGGACACACCTACCCATAGAAAAAAATATTTTCAAAGCTATATAATAATGTATTTGGAGTTATGCACTGACCAGCTGGGCAGCTTTGTGCGTTGGGACTCAGAAGGTTGCTGGGTCAAATCCTGTGGTCAACAGAGTGATCCCAACATTGGGCCCTTGAGCAAGGCCCTCAACCCCAGTTGCTCAGGGACTGGCTGTTCCTACCTTCTCCTCTATGCCACTTTCATGAGGCGGCCTCCTGAGATGCTTTTCCAGCTGTCCTGCAGGAGGTCCCACATATATACTGAGCTCTCATTGGCTGCTTTTCCACTCTCTGGTCAAACTCCCCCAAAACCATCTCTACTGTGTTTAGGTCAGGTGATCAGGTCATGTGATGCAACACTCTATCACTCTCTTTCGTAGGTGGCTTTGATGTGTCCACACTTTGCACTGGTACTGTACATAAATACTGAAAGACACACAGAGCGTACCTATAGCCTTTTATGTTAGGACTTTACCATAAAGGGCTTCCCCATCATTGTAAATTGCGACCCCTCTCTCCCTCTGCTTTGCAGCTGACTCTCTAGCTTGGCAGGATTGAACAGAAGGACGGCAGGATATCCCCCACTGAAAGTCAGTTTTGTAGGAGAAGGATTCATGAGGGGTCGCTTCTCGCTGGGATTTGCTCATATACAGAGACCTGTGGATTGGACAGGTGTGTCTCTGGGGCTGCATGGATGGGCATCCGAGAACGAGGTGGTGGGACACGTGTCATGTTGGCTTCCAGCTTCTAGGGGGGACAAAAAACACAAAACTAATCATTACAGGCCTGGCAACCAGGGCTGGATGTAAAGGATGGGGAGGAATAGTAAATACATGGCCACCCCTGTGGTCACCCTACGCCAAAATAATAACAATAAAATATGGATTATTTTATTTCCTAAGAGACACGGTGCTGCATGATCACCCCAATAAATATAACTGCCCCCCGATGGCCTCCACAATCAAAATTTTCTGCAGGCATCACTGCTTAAAATGTAACAATATGTGCTGTTACTGTGCGAACAAATGCTCTTTAACAGGAAGTGACACCACAGAAGAAGTGACAGAAGCGACCTTTTTAAACAGAATGTTACTAAGACAACCGGAATGCCATAATTCTGAAGGTGTAAAATGGGCTGGAAGCACTTACTACACTTCAGCGTAAATCGGACACTGAGGAAGAGGCATGTAAATATGAAGGGGGGCCTTTTTAAACTGGTTTGTGCCCCCAGTGGTGCCAGAAGAGGCTGGGGAACTGTCAAAACAGCAGGACGGCAAAGACGAAAACAAAAGAAAGAAAATCTGGGTAAACAAGTTTACCTTTCTGAAAGAAGAAAAAAGGAAAAAACACGAAAAACCAAAAAGTAAAGTGAGGGAGAGAGATGAGAACCATGCTGTGGTGGAGGAAGATAAGGATGGAGAAATGAAAGTGGCAGAGGAGACAAAATGAAGAAGACGGCAGTGGAGGGGATGGAGGATAGGAATGGAGATCCTCAGACAAAGGTGGAGTTAGAGGCTGAGATCGAGGCAGTGTTGGAGGACATGGAAAAGGCAATAAAAGAGATGGAGGCTGAGAGTGAGGCACATAGGAGGAGTCTCAAGATGGAAAAGACAGTGTATGAGATGGAACATGAGGTGAAGTCAGTGGTGGTGGAGGTGGAAGTGATGGAAAAAGCAGTGGAGGAGGAGACCAAAGCATGGAGATGATGGCAGTGGTGGAGAAGACTGAACGCATTGACTATCAGTTTACAACTTACAAGTAAAGTGATAAAAATGGAGAGAATGATGAGAATTTATTCGGATGTTTTCATCACATAATGCCAGTAACTTTTGACCTGTGTAACAAAGCGGGTTACATGGGCATTCCCTCTCAGTCAGACACTGCCTAATCCAGATTCCGATTTAACTGAAATCGTGACATTTTTACAGCCAAGGAGCAGACAGGCTTCTTGGTTCTTATGTTACACATGTTGTTAGCCTTCTGGGACTTCTGTGTAGTACGACTCTTGCGGCACAAAACACGGCCAAATTTTCTGCAGGCCCTACAGCAGACAATAAGCCACTTAAAGTATCCTTTCCAGCACATAGTTATGATGATGCTTTAGGGACCTGGGTTCATGGTAGCAACTGGAGAAATCCATAGTGGGCAGGAATATGTGTGCATCAGTGACCAGATGGTCCAATCTGCTGGTTAAACCAGGTAACAATGAACAGTGCATTATTGTGCATCATGCTTCAGATCACTAGCTGGTGATAATACTGGTGTAGTAGTGATAGCAGTGATGCTGAAAGAGGCTTCAGGTACCTGAAGGTTTCCTCCAGGCCTAGAGGGGCAGTTGGAGGTTCTGGGAGGGGGTCTCAAAGGCAGGTTGGGGACTGTTCTGCCCGGGATTTGCACTTGATCCTGAACATCTCTTCCCCTCAGATTTACTTCTGAGTACAAGTGGTTTTGGGGGGTTTCTGGGAAGAAAAAAATGAATTTGAAATTAAGATCTGTTAATATCCAGATTATTTTCCTGCAACTGGAGTGCATTGGAGTGAAAAGCATTCACTCGTCTTGCAACCGTAGCATAGGACACAACGTACTGGTCAGCCTGGATGGGATGCTGCTCCATCAAAGGGCAAACAAACACACACACGCACATTATGGGAAATTTAGTGACACCATTTATCAAAGGGCAAACAAACACACACACGCACATTATGGGAAATTTAGTGACACCATTTATCAAAGGACAAACAAACACACACACACGCACATTATGGGAAATTTAGTGACACCATTTATCAAAGGGCAAACAAACACATACATACGCACATTATGGGAAATTTAGTGACACCATTTATCAAAGGGCAAACAAACACATACATACGCACATTATGGGAAATTTAATGACACCATTTATCAAAGGGCAAACAAACACACACACACGCACATTATGGGAAATTTAGTGACACCATTTAGCCTAACTGTGTACTAGAGGAGGATACTGGAATACCTGGAGAAAAGCAACACAAGATTGCATGAACACACAAACTCTGCACACATAAAGTGATGGTGGGATTCAAACACTCTTCTCTCTGTCTGTATCCCTAAATGTAACATTTACCAGCTCCTGTTCAGAACCTATTAAAAAAAGCCCCCCCGTCTCTCCCCAGTCAGAAGGTTATCAGTTCAAATCTCATACATGGAAAGGTGATATCGATGTTGAGTCCTTGATCGAGGCCCTTAACCCCAATTGCTCCAGCGACACTGTCTGACCCTGCTCTCTGGTCCTCGCTAGTACATCGCTTTGGTCCAAAGATTATCTCACCGGCACTTTCTAAAGCCACCTGTCTCCCTCCCACAGCGTAGAAGTCAATCCGGTCGTCTGACTCCACAGGGCGCGTCAGGTGGTTCGTCTCCTCGTAAGTGTGCAGGGGCACCATCTCCCAGTACTTCTGCTCCTCGGCTGATTCGTGGGAAGGGGGAGGTGGAGGGGGAGGTGGGAGGTCGTCTGCATCGGCCACAGGGGGGATGTTCATGTAGAATGCAGAGGGGCTGCGAGCAAGCCGGTGGGACTTGTTCACTCGTGCATATGGAGCATCCACCACGCCGCCCTCGGCTCCAGCACCTTCCGGAACTGCTAACAAATGCTGGAAGCTGACAGGAATGCAGTCTGAGACCTGGCCGAGACAGCAGCAGAAAATTCAGGGTGTGCATTTAAGATATTGCAATATTTTTATGGATAAATCACTTTACCGAATCAGAGATTAGAGCCATGTGTTCTACCCACGGACAGAAAACGGTGGCATGTGCCTCTACATGTTCAGAGTCTATGCTGGTGATCAGAAGCTTATTGGTTCAAATCCCAGAGCTGACAAACTGATCTCACTGGTGGGCCCTTGAGCAGTGACATTGTCTGATCTTTAATTTGGTTATTTATTTATTTTTATTTTATTTTATTTATTTAATTTCTTCTATACACATTTTCATATTATTTTATTTATATATTTTATATTTCACTATTACTCATATGCAGTTGGTTAATTAATTCTTTCTAAACTGGAACGCACTTTGAATCACCTCCTGTTGTTTTTAAATGTGCTATATAAATAAATGACTTAACTTGACCTGCACGTTGCTCAGGGCAAAAGCATCTGATGAATAAGTAAATTAAAACATCTGACAGTCTGTAACTCTGGATAGTGTGGTCCGTACCTCTAAGCTGAGCGCATTTGTGTTTGTCGCAGGATGGACATCGGACAGAGAATAGGACTTCTTCAGAACTTTCTTCACCACTGCGTAGTCCCCCGTCCCATTGGAGGGGGGGACTAGGTTCTCAGTGGATCTGGGTGCAGGGGGGAGAGCAGGTGGCGCTGAAGGGATGACCTCCGCGTCATTTCCAGTAGCAGTGTTGCTCCGTACCCTCAATCCCTCCATGCCGCCCAATGTCGCCACTTTACTGCCATCATTACCCTGAGAGGTTAATGAGAAAAGACATGCGGATGCAGGTATGTCTCAGTGTGACCTGCAGGAAGGCGGAGGTGGAAACCCAACCCGAAAGGAATGCTGCAGAACTCCACAGAGTACATGCATTCGGGGTTTGAAATTCCTCCCGTGTGGGTAACAAATGGAGGGGAGGGGGGGGGCGATTTTTTAGTGGAAATGTGATGAATGAATCTGTGCGGATCCAATAGCATCAGGCTTCGTTAGTCGAATCGGCTTCCCATTTTCTCTTCACAAACACTGAACGTCTAATTATGACCTTTGTTGTTTTGTTATGTCAAGAAGATGACTGGTGATCCTGAGAAAACTCCTCTGGCTATATTGAGAAAATGAGTTGTGATCTCGACATAACAAGACAGAAAAAGTAATAATGTATGTCCTCTATGGACTTCCATACAATGCAGAGCTGCAATGAAATGATAGACAAAGCAGTCCTGTGTTCACCTGAACGGGGCGTTAAAAGTTCCTTGCTTTAAATATTCTTTATGTAATAAATTTAAAGCACACTTATATATGTTTTTATGTTGCTAAAAAATTATCTGATCCATGACTCATAAACCATTATATGACCCAAACTGTGAATTTTATGATACTCTGCCCTAACCCTAACCCTAACCCTAATAATAATAATAGTAATAATAATACCAGCCAAGGTATGTGTATATGATGTCAGTGTGATATGTGTAATTCAAGTGTCACAAAGTGCCTCTTGAATGAGTGGCATGATTGACAGGCTTGTCGGCAATGTACGGTGGTGGGGTTGGATGTGGATGGGGCTAGATGTGGGATTGTGGGCCAGGTTGGGTGTGGGTGGGGCTGGATGTGGGCCAGGTTGGGTGTGGGCGGGGCTGGATGTGGGCCAGGTTGGGTGTGGGCGGGGCTGGATGTGGGCCAGGTTGGGTGTCGGCGGGGCTGGATGTGGGCCAGGTTGGGTGTCCACGCCCTGTTCAGGTGAACACAGGACTGCTTTGTCT